CTAGCCAACATCATTATGGTATTCAGAATGCCATCCACTGCACTTCAGTTACTTAAAATACTCTCTCATAAACCCTACAACCAAAATATATTAGTTATAAGTGTAAATAATACTGTAGTTGCAGAGTTGTAGCATTTGTTCTTTTCTAAAGCAGTATTTAATCAAAAATGTCAACATAAATTAAAAATTATCTGGCGCTCTCTGCCCAAAAGTGAATGTAACATCTTCAAAAATTAGCTGAAATACAAAAACATTGCTATGATTTGTTTCTTGTTAAAAATGTCACTTTTTTGTTTAAAATGACTGTGCACTAGAATGGCTAAAAAAAATCCAACAAAAGAATTTTAAAAGTTCTCGGCTGATGAAAAGCAAGCACCAAGAGTAACTCCTTAGTGAACACAACAAAACCCATACTCTTGTGCACAGTTCATTGGGGTAGTAACAGGAACAATCTGTAGAGTGATCTCTGTGCATTTAAAGCAACACAGTTCCAAAGTGCCAGGACAGTTTCTTCACAGTATTCCACATGCGGGGATAAAAGCCCCATGCTGCTTTAAGGCAGGGAAGGAGGCAAGTGGCATCACGAATTTAATTCAACAGAGTTCCAAGGTTCCTACATCTGAATGGTCTGTTGTGCTGCCCAAAATGTAGCTTGTGGTATCATGAAGCAACCAAAACAAAACAAAAAGCAGGTAGTGAACTCTGGTCAGACTGCAGAAACTTGCTCATCTTCTGTTAAAGAGAAATTAAACAAAACATCAAGTTAATCTACTGATAAATGAAATTAAAAGAACACAGCAACAATAGCATTTTTTAAAAAATATAAACGCTGCTGCATCAATATGTTGCATCAGAATATACAAGTTACCTTAATTGTTCCATGTCTTGTGATTTTCCAAAACACAGTTCATTCAGTGCCTTTTGAGTAGGGAAAGGAAGTTTATAAAAAGATGGCCATTCATTTTCATCCTCATATGTAGATTCTGACAAGGATCCTGGTAATATTTCATTAACAGAATAATCTAGACTTTAATCTAACACTTCTAATAGCAGCATAATACTGGAATCCAATAGGAACAAACAACCGTAAGTCAATATACGTGACATAAACTTACGGTTCTCTCACTGGCGGGGAGGTTTACAAGATTCCACATAAAGCCTGCCCACTGCCACCCCACCCACTTTTGTCCCAATTAATGACTGCTCAAGGGCTGGAGGTGTTCAGGGATGGAGGAAGCCCATCTCTGGTCATCTCCCTCAATGGCCTCCTTTCCACTTTAGGCACCGGTTCCCTTACTGCTGCCAGGGTTACGGTGGAAGTCGAACTCATTTATACCGGTTAGGATGAAACATTGTGGTGGGATGAAATGTTCCCCACTTAATCTTCCAGTGGTGAGGCAGTTTACCATCCTGCCCATTATGCCAAAATTAATTTTAAACATTTAATTTACATATTACCTTAACTATCTAATGTCAACATTTCAATCAAAAATATTTTCAAAAAATTCTTGACATTTCCCTCCTTTTGATCAATTATTTCGCTTAAGGTGAGGTCTGTTTGTAGCAAGACCATGAAAGATGCTCCACTCCTGTATCAAGCATTCTCAAACTAGAAAAACAATGCATTGATTAACAAGGTCAACTATACTATATGCCTCGTTAACCACCTTATCCACTTATCCCATTGCCTTCAAACATCTATGGGTATGTACATCAAGGTCCCGCTGACCCTCAGCACTACCCAGGGTTTCATGTGTTTCTTTGCCTCGTTAGTTCTCCATAAACATGTCATCTCACACTTTTCAGGATTAAAGCTGCACCTGCCACTTATTAATGTATAGCATAGTAATGTATTAATATAGCTAATATAATTCTCATTAATGTACTCCTTAACAGCTAACATGATGGACTACAAAGTCATTTGTACAAATTTGCCAATAACACAAAGATAGCCAGCACTGAAGTAACAGAGCTGGAATCATAATCTATGAATACATCTGGAATTTTAAGTGAATAACAAAAACTGTGATAGACAGATTGCAATTGAAATGAGTGTGAGGTTATCCACTTTGGTTAATAAAAGGATAAATCATGGACAGGTACAAAAATTGATTGATAAGTCTAATCGAATGCAAGTCAACATATCTAGAGATCAATAATATAACAGTATAGATATCATGATTCAACTATACAAAGGCCTGTTCAGACTATACCTGGAGTAAAGTGTTCAGTATTGGACACCACACTTAGAAAGAATATTTTGGTCCTGGTCAGAGTCCAACACAGATTTACATGAACCTGAACTCCAAGAGTTAAAGTAGAAGAGAAATTACATAAGTGGAATTGTATTTCTTGCAGTTCAGTAGATTAAAGGGTGATTTTATTGAAGTTTTGAAAGTAAAAATTGAAGACTGGCCTCTAGGATTCTAGTTAGGAAGCATTTCCACGTGCAAAGGGAGTTAGAAGTTTGCAACTTTCTTTCACAAAAAGGAGGTGATGGTAAGTTAATTACTAAGTTTAAATCTGACATTGGTAATCTCCAGCATCAGTAGAAGCTTGCAGGCATGCGTTCTGACTTGACGAAAGGAGTTTACTGACACTTTGAAAGCCCCATCCCATTGATATGAAACAATTCCATAACTGTTATTCATTTTGATCTTGTGTTTGAACTGTGGACTAAAACATGGGAGAAGATACTCCATTAAACGAAGGAAACTGGAAGAAAGTATTGTAGTTTTAAAGACAAGTTACTGGAACTCTGTGGTTATGCCAGCAATATTATCTCATGTAGTGATTGTAACAAGGTCAGCCAGATGAACTGCATGGAATAGGAGTTCCCTGATTGGGGTTGTTAATCTGGTCCAAACAGGGAGTCCTGGCTGACAGATAAAAACAGGAGAGCTAGACATACTGACACTCAGAGCTGGCTCTGAGGGAGCTGGATCAGTGTCAAGGACATTCAGTGTGTAAATAAAGGGTGATGGGATATCAGTGCCTGCGGAGTTATTTCAGTGGTGATGAAAGCAAAGCACACTCCTGAAGAGATTTACTTGTAACATGTGTCCATAAGTTGGAAAACTTGACTTGTTTGATCCCGCCAAAGACTGGGCCCAGTATGTGGAAAGAATGCATTATTTTTCTGGGCAAAGTAATTCTCCTGACAGCTTGTGAACCCACAGCTTTTATAATTTTTGGAGCCTAACTTTCCCTGAGGCACCAGATACCAAAACCTTTAAAGAGTTGACAGATTTAGTTAAGGAATATTATGACCCCAAGTCTCCTCTAATTATGAATTGTTATTGTTTTTACTTGGCAATTCAAGAACAAGGGGAACATGTCTCGGGATTTTTGACTAGGTTAAGATGATTGGCAGAGGCACATGGTTTTGGTTTAACCGTTAATGAGATGCAAAGAGAAAGTTTGGCATGTGATTAATGATGTAACCATGCAAAACCCCCAACAGCTGAAGCCCAAATGAACTTCTAACAGATGCTACAACTGGCTTTATCATTGGAAAATGTGGCAAGTGGAACATATGAGTTGCAGGGTATTCTGAAAGAAATGGACATTCTTGCTGGTCTTACTGAGCTTGGGGAACACCACTTAAGTGAAGGCAATTACATAGCCTCACTTAGGACATATCCTGAACAGAGGAACTTTAGATCAGCATCAGCAAAACCCCAAAACAAAGCCAATCCTCGTCCAAACGGTTAAAATTTTCTTCATTGGCAGCCATTGTAGTTGCTGCCAGAATGCAGACTTGAGGCAACAAAATAGTTGCACTGCACCTGAAGTAAGAAAGAGAACTCACAGGCCGGTATCGGGGAGAGTGCACATTCTGGAAAGTCCACCTACATCTTCCTTGGAATAGTTAAATTGCTTAACAACATCCAAATCAGAACCAATCAAAATAAACATCTATTTAAATGGTAGTCCAGTTCCAGTGGAAGTCGATACTGGCACAACCATTTCAGTGATCGTGGAACCAGTCTTTAACAAAATTCGCTCTGGACTCCAACCCTTAAGTTTGTGCAGGACCTCAACTAGACTGAGAACCTATATTGGGGAACGTTTACAGATTAAGGATACAACTTCAGTTCTGGTCTCTTATGAGAAGCAGCTGGTTCAGTTACTACTGGTTGTAGTAAAAGGCTTCAGCCCAAGCTTGATGGGGTGAAATTAGTTGAGAAAGATTCACCTAGATTGGGTCAACATTTTCCATTAGAAAACGGGTACCTGAGTGAAGTCCTAATCAAATACCCCAAAGATTTTCAGGAAGGTCTAGGGACCATCAAAAGAGCCAAGGCCACCTTGCACGTTAATCAGGGAGCAATTCCACAATTTTGCAAGGCCTGCCCAGTGCCATTTTCCTAATGGGTAAAAGTAGATGCAGAAATCAGAAACAACAAGGTGCAGGGCTGGATG